TCCCTACTTGCTTCGCTACTAAATACCTTGAGAAGTTCTAAATTTAAGTTAATATGTTTTTTGTGCCAAAAAGCTATGGTGAGATTTTAATGTCCACACACAAAAGGACAGAAGCATCAGGCACAAGTGCAAAGCTTTCCACCACAGCCTTGTGTCTGACCCCGTGTATGTTCCATTGTATTTCTTTGTCCACACATCACACATGCGTCCTCATTTGGGGCATTCTCATGTCAAGCTTTCCTATCAAATAATGACTTTTCTTAGAAAAGATAAGAATTCTCAGCATAAAGGACTAAGCATTCATCAACAGAGTTATTTGTATCCAGATAGTTCTGGTTATCTGGGCAGGAGCTGCATCAGCAATCTGACTTCAAAGAAAAATCTGCCCCTTTTCTTGGATTTTTCAAGCCCTACTTAATTGCAGAGAACAGATTTTCAAAAGCAAAAAGCATATTTCTGTCTCTTGTGAAGCACTACCTCCAAATTAGCTGCAGCCAGAAATAACTAGCTTAATACTGCTCCCTTAAAATAGGAGAAACCATTTCTTTGAAATGCAGTTACTTACGTGAGGTTGTCCCTGACAACTCACTGAGGCCCAAACTGTATTCAGTTTTGATAACCAGAAAAGCTGGCCCATTCCTAAGGCAGATTTGTGCCTGCCTGCCCTGTTTGTACATACCTTGTTAGAGCTGCAGCTTAACAATTCCTTCTGTTGTTAAAAGGAGTGATTCAAACCTTGTTTTAAAATAATAATAAAACACTGTGGGGCTTCTCCCAAGGTGGGGTCTGCTTTCTCATGTTTCTCTTTAACCATGAAAGTACAAGACAAGGGTGGACTAGACAGCCCTCGAGCAAGTTGGGGATAAAGCTACGCGGCTCAAGGCCTGGGCAGCAGCAGCAGGGTGAGGCAGGGGGTGTGCAAGCTGGTGCTGCTCCTGTGAGGGACTGAAGGGAAAGGGTTAAGTTTCTTTCTTTGGATTTACTTACCCTTGAATTTTGAGGCCTTGATTGTCTGCTGACTTCTCTTGGTGTAGAGAAGAAGTAGGAAAACTTCCAAGTCAGGTCACAAGATTCAAATCTTTGGGCCTTTTTTTTTTTTTAAAAAAAAAAACCTCTGTTTAACAAATCATAAATAGTCCTCTAGGTGCCACCAGATAAGCCACTGCACTTAAGAGGGGTGAAAAGACAAAAAATTGTAGCTGTGAACATTTTGACTCAGGCCTGACAGAAAAAAAGTGGAAATGAAAGGGGACAGAAACTAGTATTATACAGATGTGTAATCTTAGTATGGTTAAAATGTTGTACTGAATTATTGCCAAACCGCTGTTCTTGCTTCAGATGTGACTTCAACTCTAGGTATAAAAGGTGCAGGATGGTGAGAAAAGTAAAGGGGGGTTGTAATGTTTTTCTTCTGAATGTGTAGTTGAACTCTGGCAGGCTTTGTGCTTGGCAAGTAGAGATGTGAACAACAGAGGAGCAGAGTAGTGTAGTGGAGGGCGCAGCGGCCCATGTACCTGGGCTCAGACATGAGTGACGAGACCCAGGCGCTGATGCTTCCAGACGGGCCGGGCCTGAAAGGGGGTGGTGCAGCTGCATGGGGAGTTTCACTGATGCTTCCCACCATGTCTTGTGCACAGATGGAGGTTTCTGTGAAGTGTATCACCTGTTTTCTATACATAACTAGCTAAAAGCACAATAAAAACACTTAGAGAAAGACACTAGTTCTTTTCCGAGCCTGCCTTTCTCCCCACAGACATAGGCAAGTGGTTAATGGTTTTCTTCCTAGGAACCGAAATGCATTCCTGTGGAATAAAATAATTCTGAGGTCAACCAGGGAAAAAATCTAGTGGAGGCCATATATTAAGAATGGACTTGATATCGAAAATACCACTACCAGCAATTTCTATTTAGAAAAAGAAAGCTTTTTAGTATGCCCTTATAAATACAGAGCTGGTTTTGCCTCACACCACTTTCACAGGTTAGTAAGCTAAGTACTATGCACCCAGTTTTTTTCTTTTTTTTTCAGGAAGTTTAGATTTCTCAGGTTTTTTAGTGTTATTATTTGGGCAGGTTAAATGGATTATCCTTAAAATACATGTCAGAAAATATATCATGCATCAAGCTAATATTCAACTTGCCATCTCTTTTTTTTTTAAAAAAAAGACAACCTCCCTTACAGAAAGAATACCCAAGAAGGCAATCTGAGATAGGTCATCCTTGGAGTGTGGCCTCTGGAATTCTGTGCTATGCTCTTGACTTAAAAAATAATGCTGTAATGTGAAGGAGACCAGAGAGAAAATATCTGCATGTTTCTGTGGACTATCCTGGATAATAATAGCGTCACGTATTGCGGCTTAAGTTATTTAATTCCATATCAATGCACATGTTAAACTGTATCATAAAAAACTAGTGTTAATTAGCTGAAAAAAATACTGTTAAAGCATAAATCTTTGTTGCAATAGTCACTGAATTTTACATGAAAAAGCAGGTCTCTCTTTACCAAAAAAACAGGTCTCATAGTAATCCCCAAGCTATGAGTGTGATAGCAAGAGAGTTTACTAAAAATGATCCAGTTGTGTGTGTTCTTCCTGGGAGATTTCAGCTGATCAACACTCTTAAAGAACATCATCCTTTTTGGTCACGCCATGGAGCCTTACAAGGTAAATGGAAAAGGGGAGTTGATGGACAGAGTTCAGGCACTGCACCTGCCTGCAAATGAGGGGCCAGACAAGCAGCACAGCTAAGGAATGACTCTCCAGGGTGGGTAAGGACAAAAGCAGCTGTAGTATTAGGCATGGCATATACAGCTCCAGACCATTCCTTAGACAGCCAAATAGGGCCAACCAAATCCATCCTCCTGCTTTCCTGGAAGTCTTTCAGATCAGTTCGGTTGTTCCAGGTCAAGAAATGCTACCACTCACTATGGAGTTAATCTGCCCTCTAAACTGACTTAGTTTTGACTTTGTATGTCAAACCATCATGATGCTCATGCTCCCTATCGCTTACAAAACAACACATCTGTCCTTGGTTTTACAATGTCAGGGGCTCTGACATCTACTTACTGCAGTTTGCTGTCATGTCACTTTGCTTTATGTATAGGTCAAGGGAAGTATCACTGATATACTGTACAGATTCTTCAATAAAAGACCAGCATTAGCCTGGTCTTAACTATCACAAACCCTTAGAGAGAGTAGACCAAGAGCCTTCCACCAAGCCGAGCTTTCACTGAACTTCTCTCTGCTGCCACTACAACTTCTTTCTGTGGAGATACAGAATAAAGGTTAGCAAAATGCATCTGCAAGGGCCCACTTGCCTTGAGCTCCCCTCAAGAGAGATTTTGTGCATATCATTAGTGTTCTACAAAAGTGTGATGAGGAAGTGGAGAGCAAAAACAACCTCACCGGAACAGCTGTGAGCAAAACAACCCTAGCAAAAAGACTTACTTTACTCAGGAAAATGGAAAAAAAGCTGGAACCAACCAAATAAATCTCTTCCCAGGGCAAACTCTTAGGGGTAAGGTTAATAGGAGTAAGGCTGGAGTGCAGACAGGACTGGTGCCTTAGCAGGCAGGGACACAATCACTTGGAAAACTGCCTCATGAGCCCTCATCCACGATATCCTTGTTTCAGGTTTTGGCTTATGAAAACCTGCACTTTAACTTAGACATATTTGCGTTTCCAGGTGCTTCTCCAGCTCATGTTTTAACAGCAAGCAGTCAAACACCGCTTGCTGAAGTGCAGTCCCACATCTCCCCAGCCTGGTGCTGAGGCTTCCCACACTGCTCTCCCAAAGCAAGTGCAATGCTGCCGTCCATCGAGTTGAACAAGCACTCAGTAACTTTCCAGCTGAGCGAAATTAGAGATTTCTCACTGAATTATACACAAGTAGGGATTGACTTTTGAAAATTATAAAGGACTTCTGAGGGAAACAAAGAAATACAGGTACGAAAAGACAACCAAACTTAGCCAAACTTTGTATGCTTTTAAAGACTTCACTTATGAAGAGTGTCCACGGGAAGTGACAGCTAGGAAAGCAAGCCTGTGCATAATATTAACTGAGGGAGAGGTTTAGGTGCTTGGTGTACTCCACAGCTGAGCTTGGTTTACACCAATTTTTCATACAGGTTGATTAGAACAGATGAACAGAAACTGCATTGGCACCTGTACATGATTTATCTCTCAGCAAACTGTTAAGTAGTAGTTTATATTTCACACCACTTTAAAGTGATCTCTCTCAATCCAGGTGTCAGATACAAAAATTTAGATAACTCTGTAGTTCCTCAACCTATGAAATGTTTTTAATTACCAGGTCAAAAAGTAACTTAAAGAGAAACTTGATCAACTATGTAAAGCAGTAAAAACAGGATTTGTAAGCTGTTGACACATGCAAGTGTGATGGAAAGATGTCAGGAAGCAAAAAGTAGCAGTTATTTTTCTTACCTTTCTTTCAGATTTCACAGTAATTACAGAACTTCCAAATCTTGACCATTCCTATAAAACAAAGTTGCTTGTTTAATATTACTGGTTTTAAAAGTTCAATTTCTTCCTTTCTAGAACTCAACAGTTTGTCTTCTGGTTACTCACCTCAGGAGAAATCAGGACATATTGTGCCTGAAAAAAAAAAGAAGTAAAATCAAGTAAGGGCCTTGGAAGAACTGTGCTGCTTACAGTGTAGAAGCCTAATACAATAATCTGGGCCCCTGAGCAGCAAACTAATTCAAGAACAAAAAGGATGAGCCAAGTTACACAGATACAGAAATACACGTAACCTTCAGTTTCTGAAACTGTATCTGAACACCTCAACTCTTTTCATTGGGTGTAATTTATTAGCTGTCCTTATGCCCTCATCTCCTGATGTCACTGCTATGTTTTCGTACCCACTTCTCAGGACAGGGAGATATCCATGATGTGCAATGATCCGTCACGTCCCCGGCAGTCGTCTGGTTTCCGTTGTAGATGTAAACACGGCCTGCTGCCCCGCCAAGCAGTATTGTGGTGATATCGTTAGTTCGCAGCGGGGACGTCACAATCATTTCATCTGCAAACATAACACACCAGCAGTGACATAATGCTGCATCAAAACACACAGTTGGCATTTATGTAGCTCTAGATGCCATAGTTCCTATCAATGACTGTGGCTAAAACATTTCAATTTGTGCCTAAAGTGTTTAGGACTTTGGGGTGCCCCCTGAGAGGCACCGTGGAATACTTTTACAAGCCAGCTGATGGAGCCAACATGTCTATGCAGGCCACTGATCTTCCCAGTGCCAAATGTAAAACATGCCACCTCTGTAACCTAGATTCATTAAGCTGTACCTAGACCATCGTTGTCCAGATCACTTAAGAACACATCTCCCCCAAAGCGAGAAAACCTTCTGTCCCCGCTGAAAGTGCTGAGCAAGGAAGGCTCGGCGCCCTCCGTCAGCTCATACATGAGAGCCAGCCCAGCCTGGTGCAGCACCGTGGCTATGAAGGAAAACCTAGAAAGGCCGTCTGAGGGGAAAGAAAAAGAAAAAAAAGGAAATACAGCATCAGACATAGGCATTCAGGCTTACTGCTTGCAATGCATTGATGGCAGATAATACTGGCATTACATAACATGAACAAATTAATGTAGTTTTGGAACAAGAGCCAAAGGTAATATGACTAACACAAATTAGCATAGAAAGCAACCTCTTAATAATAGGACCTGTGGAACAATGCATGCAAGTTAGAGGACAGATATTAGAGGTGTACATTTTGACTTGTGCAATTCCTTCCTGCCTAATCCTATACCAAGGACAAAATACTGCCTCATTCAATTTCAAGAAATAGGTAGTGTATTAACAAATCATTACTACATAAATAATGCTAGGTAGTAAAGCTGTTAATAGAAGCTAGCCCCAGGAAGAGGGAAAGAAAGCATTACAGTTGAAGCTCTGCATTACAGAAAACTGAAAGTGTAAGGCATCTGCAGATGATTACCAGAAGAATCTCATAGTAATTACTCACATATATATAGTTTAATGGCTATTAAACTTTTTAAAAAAATGTTAACCTTGTTTCTGTCTTCTGCTTATACATTTCAGAAGCAAACAACCCAAGGCAGGAGTAGTTTACAATTTGGAGAGTGACATACCTGTGGTAGGTGCGCCCACCACCAAAACGGTCTTGGTGATCCCAGCTACGGATACGACACCACTGGCAAGGGACATACCCATTCTGCCCATTTCCTGTCAGATATTAAACACCCCCTGTCATTTCCACAGCACAGGGCTCGACTTCAACCACTCCCAAGGCTCCATACTGGAGACAACATCCTACCTTGCGTCCCGTTACTGCAAACCAGGGTTCTGTGCTTGGGGGCTTATAGCCATACACCTTCCCAACGCTCTGCCCGCCATCCGAGGAGAAGGGGTCACAGCTGGGATAGAGTGTAAAATAATGTTGGTACATAACAACACACCTATTTTACAGATTCAGCCAGCATTTCTTAATTTAAAGGGCATTCACCTTAGCATAATACTGGCTGCTAAAATTCTAGAAATCTATTTTAGTAATTCTCATTCTTGTTTTAACTATATATAAGACATTTAGGGCACTTAGGACTTTGTCTGTCTTTCCCTTTCCTCATCACCCAATACATTTTCGCATTAAGTTTGCTGCTAAAAATACTATCTCAAAATGAATGGTGACTATATACAGAGTTATTTTAGGCATGCTTATTGTTAGCATTTTTGTGCCCTCCCCCCCAAGAAAACCCACAAATTCTTATATGCCTCCAAGTAACAAAGACCCTCTATATACATAAATGAAGAGGGGTGAGAGGTAAAAATGCTAATTAAAAATATTCTAAGTATGACCAAAGAAGAATTTTTCTAAAAAGCAGGAATCTTATCTATTATAAGCCTTAACCAGTGTGGGAGAAGTTGGGCAGGATGGAAGAAGAAGAGAGCAGCCACAGTACACAACGCACCCCACACAACGCTTCCACACAGGGCTACCGATCAGCAGGAGCGTCGAGTTCTCCAGCTGACAGCTGTCCAGCGAAAATCCAAACCAAGAATAGTCTTTTTCCCCCTTCACCATCCAGTCAGCATCCTCGACTGAAAGCAGACCTGATAGAGCAGGAAAACAATAGAATTAAACCTGGATTTACCCTGAGGAGCAAAAACCTGTTAGCCTTTTGTTTTAGGATCAGAAGTTTCTCTAAGGAAAGTTATACTGTACATGATACAGAATCAGTTACTGCAGTGTAGCTAAAACAAGTGTAAAACAATACTCAATATGTAGTATACTGGCTGCTGAAAACCTTTACTCAGTGCAGCTGGTCTCTAAAGCAGTGCAGGTCTAACAGGAAGTTTCCATCTTCTAACAGCAAGTATAAAAAAGCTACCAGACAAGTCTGCTCTAAATTGATCAGTTCTTCTAAGTGACAGGACGAGACTGAAACTGTTTATCAGAACTTACAGTGCTTCACGAGAGGAGACAAGTGATTTCAGATAATCCTGGCTTTAGTTCAAATCATTGATTCTGTATTTAGATTTTGCAAAGATGTTCAGTTGTCAGTGTTTTGAACTTTAAAGACCATTTTCCTTGTGGCTTTTAACTTTATATGAGGTGGAATAAGGTGGAAAAAAAAAAGCTACTGGAAATCTTAATTATTCTAATGAGTCTTTTGATAGCTGTGTATCCTTCCCCACATCCTGCTAGCTTTATTCAGTTTTGCAGGTAGCATTTCCTGCTTTTTTCACAACAATCCTCGTCACCTGTAACCGTTAGCTGTATTCACTTGCAGCATTTCCTTTGGCCACGTGAAGGAGCCCCTGGAAAGATAAAAACTCACGGTGCATTTGGAGAATTCAAAGAAAGACCAGTCAGTCCTTTTGGTATCACCCATATGCAGCTGAACCCATGGCCATTTTTGCTATTTCACCAAAAAGCAGTTCTTTACTACACAAGACACTAGAATTTCTAGAATTATCTTTATTAGTCAGATACAAATATAAATTCCTCATAACTAAGGAAAAATTTTAAGCTTTTTCATCTGACTCATGAGACATTATTACTGAAAAGCAACCCTTTAATTAAATTTCTTTAATTGAATTTTGAGAAGAACTATTGAACACAAACAATTCAAGAACCCCAAGACAGCAGTGCAAGTTTTCCTGACAGAGAATTGAAATAAAAACAAAAGGACACCAAGAAAGTCTCTGTATAGCAGACTCCCATTCTTACGGGGGACTTTTTAACCTCACTTAAATCTGCTGAAAGAGCCGCAGGGCAAAGACCCATGCAGGCAAGAAGACTTCTGGAGGGTGCCAGGGAGAACTGCTTGATAGAGGTGACACAGCTGAGCTGCTCTGTGCTAAGGAAGAGAACTTGCTGGGGATACCACCGTCAGTGGCAGCCTTGGCTGCAGTGGCCATGAAAGAGGGGACTTCAAGATCCTGATGGGAGAAGAAAAGCAAACAGCACAGTGACAGACCTATGGCACAGTGACAGACCTGAGCTTTCAATACAGGAAGGATATTGATAAAGTGGGGCAGGTTCAGCACGGTGCCACCAATGGGCTGGAGCTCAGGGAACAAGGCTTGCTCAGTGTGGAGAAGAGCAGCTTTGAGAGGACCTTCCAGCAGCCTGCCAGTGCCTATGAAGAGATTCTGAAGAAAATGGAGCCAGGCTTTTCACGGAGTACCTCAGTATCCGTGAAAAATTTCTCTGAGCTTCAGTCTTCCCCACAGAGGGTGGGAGGACAAGAGATAATGAGCATAAACCAAAAAAGAGAGAGGTTTCATACTGGCTATGAGAAGATATTTTTCTTCCCACAAGGACAGCCATGCAGCTGAACAGTGGGTCGGAAAGCCTGTGCAGTCTCCAGCCTTGGAGATTTTCCAGACCTGACCAGATAAAGCCCTGAGCAACCTGGTCTGACCTTCACAACTGTTTTGAGTAGGAAGCTGGATTAGAGACTTCCTCAGGTCCCTTTTCACCAGAATTATCCTATGATTAGTTATGAACAAAATAGGCCAGCCATATAAGGTACGGGAAGGTTAATTTACACACTAGGTGTTACCTTGGGCACTTCTGTTGAAAAAAGAGTAGAATGCAACCACAAATCCTCTTTGCTGACCGCCACCAGGCGCGTAAGGGGAGCCAACCACCAGATCAGCCTTTCCATCCCCATCAACATCGGCTGCCAGGAGGGACCAACCAAGGTTACAGTAGGAATACTGCAAGAAACAGTTTGTTCAAACTTGAAATGCATTTTAAACCATTTTAAACTCAGAAAATACAGCAATTTACTTCTAGAGAACTAATTTTTCATATTGCTGAGTTAAACTCAGAAAATACAGCAATTTACTAATTTTTCATATTGCTGATGAACCTAGCTTCTCACGCTCTCACTTTACTTGTGTTTACTTTGGGTGGGCTGAGGTTCCTTTCGTTCACGCTGCTCCCTCCCCTGTGCTGCAGTACAGAAGGCTTTCCCACAAACATCCCCAACAACCTGCAGCTGCTTGCACCATCCCCAGCGATACACCTACACTCCCTTCCAGTCCAAAGCCTGCTTTAGCATTTGTTCTTTAAGCACCCAGTCCCACACCCTTTCCCCTTTCCCTCACTCCCTGCTAACGTAGCCCCATGTTAGCCCGATCCCTATACCTGGCAATTTATGGTAACGTCTGGTTGAGATCCCAAGCCTCTTCCCTGGGTGCCAAAATACACGTATACAGCACCCTAAATAGTGGGAAAAGCAAAACACAGAATGAGAGTCAGGACCAGGGATGAAATCGGAGACAAAGCACCAGTGAGTGAAACAACTCTCCAAAGGCTGTTAACACACCTGCATTTTCTCACAGCATTGTCTTTCCCACCTCAAGGCTAAAAATGCCCGTGCTGTAGCAGACACTGTTACAACCAGGCAACAAACTAGGCTTATGACACAAAAATGACACCACACTCCTTTCAGCAGAAAATTATGTTTTCATCATACATTGGATAGGGGCAAAGAGAGCGTGCTGCGTGTTATGTTCATTACATAAACATCCATGTGGCTCTAATGTTGACAACAATTACTGAACACTGTGGCACGGGGTGCCAGTCACAACAGAAGCAATGCAATTTTTCAACCTAGTGGGTCTGCACAGAAACATCTGCATTCCCATTTAGGCAGCTAAGTTAGAATGAATTTCTGAAGAGCTTTAAACTTAATGGCAGTGGTTTAAATTGATATATTTTGCCTGAACGCTCAGATGCTGCTGCAGGGGCTCATGTGGTAGGCAGCAGCTCGTTAAGGCTCTGTAACTTGATTATGTTAGCATGTGTTCCAGGGTCCATACCACATTTTTGGTATCATCTCTTGGCCTTCTACAGCAGCTGACAAAGCTCATTGACCATTCCTAAATAAAAGTGGTGCGCTTGCTTTTCATAAAAGATTCCTTATGTTTTCAGTACATCAGTGCTATGAAGCTGTAATCTGATTTGGAAACTTAATGTGCAAAACCAAAACCAAACACCCCTCAGACACAGATAGCTATCATTGATCTAGTAAAAGCACCCAAAGGTTATAAATATTTGTGTTTATATAATAATATCACCCAGACTAACAACATAAATTATTTGTCTTATTTCAGTATTCTATGCAACATGTATCAATAAAAACAATGCTGTTTGTAAAAAAGAAAATAAGGTCTTACTTTGTAAATGAGAAATTTAGATCCTACAGAAGGTGCTCCAACTGCCAGATCTGGCACGCCATCATCGTTGAAGTCCAGAACTGCCAAGGCAGAACCAAACCGGCCTGAAAGCTAAGAGAAAATGGATTGCTCCCATGAAAATACCACGTGGGTTTTAAAGACACTACCCTCAAAACCTAATGGACACTTGGCAGTGTCTAGCACAGGGAGGAACTGGAAGCAGACATGATTAAAATCTATTTTTAAAATTCTTAGGATTTTCTTAACATCAAGTAATAACAGTCATATTAATATACAAAGCAGGAGTAGACTGTTCTGTCTGAGGATGTGGGGGATTTAAAATATTAGACAATTGAACACAATATGCCACTGTGTTATTCTTCTTTCCAGTCGTTGATGTTATGTGTATGATTTGTGCTGCTAACAGCATTATAACTGTGAACTTCTAAAACACTCTTAAAGGGAGCAGCTGTGACTCCACAGTTTGTAATCGCAGAAACAGATTAAAAGGAAACGTATCTTGTATCTCTCCATTCTCCTCTTTGTGAATGAAGATGCTTACTAGAGAGGATCATCTGTGTTACCTAACAAGATTATCTGATCCTGTTTCTCAGTTACAAGCCATTCACCATTTTGTTAAATCACTGCTTTCTCTTTTCATTTTTTTTCCTTTTATATTTTAAATAACATGAATTCTTAGTAAAGACAAACCATAATATTGCAAGAAATCACCTTTGAAGTTAATCAAAAACACAGATTTGCAGAATTAAAACTAACCTGGAATAGTTTTAGATGAAAAAAAAAAGGAGGGGAAAGCTGCATCATTTGCTTATATGTGAGGAACCAAACCAGCTGTATTGAAATTTACAGTCAGCCAAAGATCTATTGTGTTCATTACCCATTTATCTGTAACCGTGAAAAAGTAGACCTGTGGGTCACCATTGCTTTAATCGTTCCTTTGACTTAGCAACAGTTCTATTTCTTGAAATGCATCTATGATATCCTTTGACCAGGAAGGGCACTTCAAGAACAACCCTCACACATATTAATGACGCTATTGCTCAGTCAAAATCTACCACATATTGAGGCAAAAGTTATTAAGTGACAAACACCGGACTCGACCCCTCACCTGCTGACCCTCTAGTACTTGGTCTGCTTTCTCATCCAGATCCATGTCCTTCGGAGGCAAACCTGACCGGCTGCCGTAGACTACATAGACACGTCCTAGCTGAACTCGGCCCAGCGTGCTGTAGCCTGGTGCTCCAACCACCACATCTTCACATCCGTCCTGGTTTAGGTCAGCTGAGATCACGGCCCTGTGCATCAAGGAGTCAACAAAAGCACAGCATGAGCTGCCAGACCACCACTAGATTAGTAGGAAATAAGTATTTCTACTCCTTTCAGGTAAGCCAAGACCTGCCTTTCCCCAGATATTTTTTCTAAGAATATACACTTCGTTTTTCATATCATATAACTGATCTTTGTTCTCTTGGCCTAGGTAAACTCAGAGCTTGAAGGTTCAGTTTCCATTAATTCAGCTAAGATGATGCTACAATCTGTTAGATAGGGAGAGAACCTCTCTGAAAAGGGGAGAATAAGCTTCATTCTGTGTTTTCATCTTTGAATTCCCTACTAATCTTCTAATGCTTCCAAGAACAATCAGTAGACCTCATCAGCAATTAACCCAGGAAAAAACATTAATTCCATGTAACCATCAAACAATAGCCAAAGAAAGGTGACAATGTTCCTATATTATCAAGAACTAGAGCCAAAGATGTTTTGAACTTTTGTTTCTTCCATTCTAAGCTTGATCACACACAGAGTATTGATCTCCTTCATTAAAGAGGAAAGTCAAAAATATGACAACTTTTTTTTTTTTTTCCAAAGAATGAGATTATCTGACTGGCTTTCACATCTAAATGGAGTTTTTGCTCTGGATATAGTTTTAGCCAGTACTGACACAGCGAGGCTTATGATGTCTGAAAGAAGAAAGGCCCTATGTATCAACTGGCAGTTCTGGCCAACCAGGCAAAGACACTCAGGCAGATTTGATCACTAGTTGACTTGGGTTGTTACCCTTAAAGAATTAAAAATAATATTTTAGTGGCTATCCTTTTTTTTTTTTTTTTTTTGAAAATAAAAGGGAAAAGTATCAACCATCCAAGTCTAGCATAGGGTGAAGTCAAAAAATACGATGCTGCTGGCTTGGAGATGTGCTTAGAAGATTGTTGATGTGCGGCTGCTAACATTCTCCAGGCATTTGTTGTAAAAGCCTGGTTTAGGAAGCGGAGGGAGTTCTGAAACAAAAATAGTAAAGAGACATAAAAATAGTTAAAACATAGGCTGAAGCTCTAGCACAGTATGGACCACATCAAAAGTCAAGCCACCATCAGTGGAAATTACCACATTCATCTACGACTTAGGTCAAGTGCTTCACTTAGGGAAGAGACAGAAATCTCCATGCTTTTAATAGCGCCTTACTAAATAATTGGTCAATGCTCTGCTGCTTTGCTAGGGCTTGCTAATTCCCCAAAGTGATCAAATGATTCTCTGAGCTGTAAATATGAAAGATATATTTTGTCATGTTTGCAGCTGCAAGATGCACTCTCATCTTTCTATAAAATGAGCAAAATAAAATAATTTAGAATTTATAGATGCAGTTGTAAGCACACAGATTAACAATCAGAGCAAAATGAAGAGGCTGCTATTCACGTAAAGAGACCCTGCTCCATCATGCAGTGTCCCAGACAGAAATCAGAGCAGCTTATATACAACGCTGAATTTTACCTGACACATCTGTCACATTTCACTTACCGTTGCCCAGGGTTGTATATTGAAGTGAACTCCTCTCTCTGTGTATGTTATATTTTTTTTAATTGCTTCTGTAAGAGAAGAAGTTGTATTCTTGAAGTGTTCATTTTTGGGTCGCTTATTCCTGTTAAGATAAAGGAGGCAGTAATAACAACTAGTGAAACTGGATGAAAGGGCTGAGTATTTTACAATAAAACTAAGAAAGGCAGACTGTTACACTGCATGTATCCAGACAGACATTTCTCACATATATAAAGTGAGTTATCAAAAGGCAGCAGTTAAGCTGCACTAAACTTAGGAGATTTATGGGTAGCTAACACTTGGTAAGTATCCAGACATTTATGACATTTACAAAATCTAGTATCATCAGCATCATTTATTTGGAGTGTTTTGTTCATCATCAATATTCTTGGAGCTCTGACAACATGAAAGAAAAAAAGAAAAATTTATTGCACACCAAACTATCCATTTAGCATGCCTGTCTCTTGAATTCACACACTGAAATTATTGCCAAAACAGAAGTATGAAAAACTCCTTTAAGAGCCATTAATGAATTTTTACTCCCCCCTCAAAAAGCAGAAACTCTAACTTGTTGGCATCTAACGTTCTATCACTTTACACTCACTTTTGAATTTTCCTGCATTTCCCTAGAATTACCCTTTCCCAACACATATCCAACCCCTTCAGGGCAGTACTTACATGTAGTTGTTCTTGCCTCCACTTGTGCATTTTATAAACAGAGGGTTCTCAGGCAAGAAGCAGCCACTAAGGAAGTATCAAAAACGTGCTTTGAATGTTTTCCCCACTATGAAAACAAAACTAAAAATACAACTTTTACCCTCATTGATTCATCTTTTTGAAGTTTCTCAAGAGGCCCTTCTAAAACTTCAAAGCTTCTTACCTGTTTATTTTAATGACTTTATGAATTACTTAGGATCTATATGAATATTGCACATCATATTGCACATATATATATTGCACATATAATCTTTAATGAAATTTACCATAGCATACCCTGCTAATTCTATTAATGTAAATCACTTAATTAAGTGACACTTTGGAACAATGAACCCAACAGGTCATGTTGCACAGTATTTCAAACACCATTTCCCAATACAGCCGCAGTGACATTATCCATTTAAATGGATGGATTAATCCTCCACTCATGGTCTTACAGAGTTATTTAAGGTAAGGCTAAACTAGTACCAAAGCATTACAGAGCCAGAGCTTTCAGCACTAGGAAAATGGGCACTACGTGCCTTCAGTGACCAAAGGCCTCAGCTCTCCTGGGAAGGGCCATCTTGGCCACAAAGTGCAACCACAAAGCGCAGCCACAGTTGAAACTACCAGGCCAGGCAGCACCTCAGGGCCCAGCTTTGCACCTGCTAAGTAAGCCCTTGAGTGGGTCTTAAAGGCTGTCCCCAGCCCTTCCCTATCTAGCATCAGCTGGCCATCTCGAAGCCTTGCTTGTAGAAAGCACTGTGTAGAAAGCACTGTGGCCGTGCGGCAAATGCAAATTCAAGGCCTGTCCAATGTACCTGGGTAAAAGAGCGTTACAAAAATCCTTTTTTTTTCAAGTGAGAATTTAAAGCACCTGCTCTAGGAAAGGACCAGCCTAGGAAGAAAAATTAAACAGGTAGCAAAACTTGAATACTGCATTTCACATCAACAGAAACACCACTATACCTGGTTCCATTTTCCAGCATAAGGCTCGTCTGCTCAAAAATATTGTTTGTCCAAAACGCCATGTCATCTACCCCTCCGAGGAAATAATCATGGAACTTATCCACCAGAAATGGAGATTTACTAGCATATGTGGGAAAAAGCTAGGAAAAAAGAAACATGTTTAGTAAAATGGTTTAATCTGCCTTCGTGTTATATATTCAGGTTTATAAGGAAAAGCAGAAACTAACCTTGGCAACAGCAAGCCTTTCTCCGTGCCTGCAAAAACATATACAATGCTTCAAAGATAAATATGTTTCATTTAATAGCATTAAATTTTGCGAGCAGTTCATTTAAAGGCCTCTAAATTCTGAGTATGGCAATACTGTGCAGGTTATTAAGAACAAGAACATTTAAAAATTCCTGGTTGGTTGTTAATATATACATTTTTAAGAGCTGTAATGAGAGAAGTAACAATCTTTACTGCCGCCCTTAATTTGAGGCCATTTCCAGTGTTTATGAATGCTGTATGACTATTGGTAATTCACTGAACTAAAGAATATAGACAGCCTGTCCAGGGTATTCAAAAGCAGACACTGCCAAAATTAAAAGACTCTGAGTTTTGATGCCTAGCTTCATGTATTATACGTGCACCTGAAAGGATCTTGTACACAGTACAAGCAAACCCTCTGCTGAGGAATATATACTATTCCTTCAACACAGGAGAATCATACTACTAAGATGCCAAAATGCCACGGCACTTCAAGACACAGCTGCTCACTCATAAAAACAAAAATATGTTAAACACATAGGTTTGTTGAACAGCTAAGATGCTGAACTTCTGTTGTAATCATGAGTTTAACAGACACGAAACAGTCTTAATTTGTATTCTAGCCTTTCTGACAATTCAGGTGTCTTACAGTTTAGGAGGGTTAGTGGGAAGTTTGTATTGCTGGTCCCAGATTTCCGAACTGGCATTTCAATGGGGATTATCAGCATTTTCCTACATGAGTTTCCCTTACAAAAACATAGACAAAGCTATTCAACTTACAGTTCGAGAAACAGCAGGTAAGTACAGTCAGTAATTGTGCTTTCTGTTATGATCTCCTTTCCATAAAATTCCTGGTAGATGGCTGCTAGGTCTTTGACAGGCACATACCTAAAACCAAGACTGATGTATTATAACAACAGCTTTCAACATCATCTCATCAAATTAGATGAGGAGATTATTACAACAACTTAGTGATTCTGTAAAGTTTGAAAGACTGTTAAAAAGACTAGTGTCTTCCATTATCATCCATGCCCCATCTACTCCTGTCGAAACACAAATTATTCATCCCTCGTACTGCAACATTTCCCAGACCTGTGCCAGAATTTAGATAATGCTGGGCTTTCCACACCTAGATGGACTCCATCCTACTTTCACAAAGTGAGTTTTTTTCTTCAACTCCAAAACTGCAAGTGAGAAGAAATTTGTAAATAAATATCTAAAACTGTTTCTTCCTTTTTTAAAAAACAATGTTTTTAAAACTTATCTGAATTCTGCAACATTGGGAAGTCTTTAAAACTTATCTGAATTCTGCAACATCTGGAAGTCTAAGTGAGATGTTGTCATTGAGTTATTGCAGAAATCACTTGGACATTTTGGCAACCTTTTTTTTCAATTACCATTTTACCTATAATTACATGCAATACCCTCCTGAGATAACTTAATCTGTCCTGCCGTGTTCCTGTTGTAAAACTTTTCTTTCCTTTGTCCTTCCAGTTTCTCAAGATAGGAAATAAATATGCACATGAGAAACACCAAATTCAGTAAAATCCTAACAGCACCTGTGCTTTGGAAGACAGTTAGAAAAGAATAAAAGAATGATAGCATTCTACTAAGACCACAGTGAAACCATCATTATCTTTTAATAGGAGCACAGAATAAGCATAAACAGTCATTCAAGAAGGTAATCTCTACTTCAGCTCATTATCTTACCAATTTGGCGCCAGGTAGCTGAAGTCCAACTCAAACTGACTCAGTACATCTCCTCCTAGAGACAGAGGAAAAAAACAATACACAACAAACCCAAACCTTAAGCATATATTGTGGACACCAGCATCATTGCTATGGCTGTGCTAGGTTCATATGGCAGAGCATCACTCCAGCTGCACAAATCTTTCTCCTTAGAACATACAAATGGCTCATCTGAAAGTATACTCTGCATTTTTTACTTCCAGAAAATAAGAAAAATTATGCCACATTTAAAAAACACAGTACTGGCTCCACCAAATCTCTGATATCAGTCAACCTCTGTCTTAGTTTAAATACAAGTTTCCATATGCCTACTGCCTCTCCTGAAGCATGGAGCACAGAGCACGTAGACAAGGACAGCAGGGCCTTTCGAGCTATGGGGGAAAGCAGGAAGACACTGGCCTTCTGACACATTCTTGGCTCCTTCATTGCACAGGACAAGAGCTAGAATCATCCACAATAGTTTTGCAGTGGACTAGTTATCCCAATTGGAGGATCTATGATGAGCAAATAGAAATTACCAACATTATTTATTTGAATGATTTACCAAAATCACCAACACTGTGAGCTTCTGAGTATGAACCATGAAAATCAATCTGGAGAAAGATGAAAACAAGAGAACTCAGCCTATTAACTTCATTCATCCTCCACACAACCATAAAAACAAAAAGAAATTATCCAAGTTGCCCAGAAGTTTGCAGGTCCCTAACCTGTAAACTTTCTTACAAAGTTTGTGACATAACTCCTCTGAATTTCTTTCTGGAACTGGGCTCCAGCTTTTTGTTTCCCTCCCCACCAGCCTCCAAAGCCAAACTATCAATTCAAATCACTCCAGTCAGATCAGAGGATAAAACAATATGAGCTTACCTGTCCCATGGCCTCTAGGAATCCTTGTGCAATGCCCAGGCTATGCCAGCTGACATCCGCAACCATATGTGAGGCAATTCCAAACAGGAAAGCCACCAGCTTCTCTGTAGCCTACAAAATAACAATACAGTTGTGGTAATGACAGTAGTTTTTCACGTGTCTAAAAAAAGAGGCGAGTACTTTATTGTAGTTCCTTATACTACAATATAGTTGATAAACTCTTACAATCTACTTGCTTAAAATGCTGAGCACTCGTTTCTTAACACTGGAAAACACGTTTTGTGACGTGACAAGCTTGAAGCACTTCGCAGAATCCACGGCCACAGAGTCAGATGGCTGATTTCAGGACAACTCATGTGCTGCAAGCTAGATACACAGTAAAGTGCTTTGTGGGTTGGAGAGACAGTCTCCCACTTCCAAGGACGGGGCTCCCTTTAGCCACCATGGATACTGTGCTAAGCACATGGAGGAATGCTGGCAGTCCTGGGCATGCGCTGGGCACTGTGAAAGCACTTGATTAAAGTCCAGGCATGAAGTTACTCATTTTGCTCCTAGGAACAGGAAAGTTATTTGGAATAAATTTATCAGCTACAGACATTTCATTCCTTCAAAAAAGACTTCTCTGCATTGGATCACTATAAGTTCCAGAGGGCTCTTTACAAACCGTAATAGAATCTTGGTTTTCTGATGAATTTCCACTCCATGAAAGTTAACAGTATCACCAGAAGCCAAACAAAACGTAGGCAAACTTCTTTCCATTGTAAAGACTTGGAGCTCTCAAATGTTGCTGCTCCAAACATACAATTTGCCTGAGCAGAGTTCAGGGAAGATACGGTAAATTGCCCAGGAAGGGGAAAAAAACAAAACAAAACAACAACAAAGAACCCAAATGACCTTTAAAATCATCCTCGATTTTGACAAGCGGCTTTTCCTTTTCTCCTGAATAGCTCATGTACCAGAAACAAAAGCAAATCAGGACTAAATCCAAGATTTCACAAGTGAGAAATCCAAAATAGGCCTGATTCTTCAAGTGGCAAATGTTCAGCCAGATCTGACAGTAACAAAAGTACCCAAAATTACACACGTTGGAAAATCTGAGCTTAGGAAATGTACCATAACGACCGGAACACACTGGGTATAATTAGTACACTTTATGTGACTATTATAATTTTTTGCCTGGTAAAGATGGAAACAGCTTTCAAGTTAAATCTATGCTAGCAGAGATCTCTTCCTAATCTAAATTTTCCATTTTTTCTACACTTCTCAAAGGATGAAATTGCCATAAGAAGTGAATGTGAAGAAAACAGTAGAAGGCAAATGCAAAAGCTAAAGAAATTTTCTTACCTTTTCCCAAGGCTGAGGATAATTTCTTCTGATATAGTGAACACTTGCATTGAGAAAGGGTGACCAGTGAGTGTCTTCAGAGACACTATGGTATATTCCTATAGCAACAAATTATATCAATATTTATTCTTTTTCACAGTAAACATATTTTTTCCATCAACAAATACAGACTTTTACTTGATTCCATAGTGTACAGATAATACATTTCTTTTGCTAGAAGAGCCAAACAAGACCTACATTTGTATGATTTACACGGCCAAACGCAGTACTAGAGTTACCTGCCATGATTTTGGTCTGAAGTATCGGAAAATATTGGGCCTTTTCCCTTCTCTGTGCCTGTGAGTAGGTTTGACACAACAAAAACTATCTGCCAAGTGGTAAGGATACACAGAGCTGACAGAGAAGCTGGTGACTAATGAATATATTGTATTTTATAGTAGAGAAGCTGATGGACATAGCAGCCAATTTGAAATTTCAAGCTTCAAGGCAGGTTCCATTTCCTCTGGGATTAGGGAGTAAAGATCATCCTCCTCCTCCTCCTCCTCCTCCTCCTCTTCATTTTCATCAGAACTGCAGAGCTGCCAACACACAGTCAGGGTGGAAGCAGATGGAGGGAAGACAAAGGCAAAAGGAATCTGTTTTTCCTTTGAAATATCAATTATTTCTCTCACTTGTATTTACACAGAATGGATGATTTTGGATCTGGCAGTGACAGTACCTGCAATTTTCTAAATAATTCACCCACATAAAGCTGAGGGCAAAGCGGTGCTGATGCCAAACTGCATAACTTTGTTGCGACAAGACCAAGCAGAACAACTTTGAATTCCACATGTCTAAGCCCTGCTTGGGGAAAACCGTGAGGCAGGAGGCAGATTATTGGGATCACCACTACTGTTGGAGGAAGAGAATGTGTCTGTTCAGAGAGAAGGGATGCTGCAGAGAAGATACATTAAATAAAAATTCTGTCAGAGCAGACTCTGTGGATGATTTAATTACCTCCTGACCTTTCAAGGTTTTTAGGTGAAGCTGAATTAGAAAAAAAAAGTGGAGGATCATGGAACCATGGGCATTCACAGAGTATCAATTTCCTCCTGGCAGTCAGTCCGCTAGACTGGCTGTCTAGGCAGGAAACAATGTTTCTGGTCCAAAGTCAGGCAACTAAGATAAAACAGGTCAGGATCTTTGGAGGTACCAATTTCTACCCCACGGACTAAAGAAATGGTTAACAAATAGCCCAAGTACAAAATGAGGTGAGATGAATCCCAGCTTTAATGACAGAACCTGAGTTGGAGGCTGCAGATAGGCCCTGGTCACTGAAATGGAGTACGGGGGAGACAAAACAGTTAGAAAAGAGAGATGAGGTACCTAGACGAGGTCCTATTAAAGGCAGGAACTGGGGAAATCCCAGGAGAACAACAGCCCTGAGGATGAGGTAAGAAAGTGGTTCGTCAGGAGACTGAAGGTAGGGACAAGGTGTGAATAGAGCCACACAGAAGATCAGATACGCGTAGACAGGAGGCCACCAACAAATGCTAGAGCAGGGGGGCAATGTGGGAGTGCGCTGAGCATCCCGATGTACAAGAGGCAGGAGCCTCCAGGATATATGCTGTATCCCACGGACCAGGATACAGGCCAAGTAACCTATGACTGACAGAAATAAGAGGCCTACCTGCACTGTGTGATTTAAGACTCTAAGCAGAGCAGGAGGACAGAAAGGAAGGGGAAAGTGTCCTTGGAAAGATATCCAAGAGGATTTTGCAGCTGAGGAAGAAAAAACACTGAGGTAAGTGGAGGCATAAGCACACAAAACATTGAAAAATATGTAAAACGTAAGATAAGCAGAGGAAAAAAAAAAGATCCTAAGGACAATTTGAACTTAATGGATCTGAATTTGTATGAGCCAGTAAAATAACCCATCTCCTTCCATACTGCATACTCTCGACTCCCGATTACTCCCAGCCACTCCCAATATTTAGACTTCAGACATTCAATGAGATCTCACCAATCCACCAGCCAGGTACCCTAATATGAATCCTATGTCACTATGTATATGATGCATATACATCGTAAAGCTCATTTGGGAGAGGACATACTGCCTTTGTTCTGTTTGCCAGCTGTTCACTACCTTGATTTGCCATTTCAGTAGCAAAAAAACCCAGACTAAACCTTGCCTAGCTGATCCTAGTCCCTGTACTGCTGGGGAAGCCAGTTTTGACAGTCCAGGTTTGACTTGATCAGATGACCAGCTGCAAGGCAAGACATACTCTTCTATGGAAAGCTAATTTTGTAACGCAGTCTTTAGAACTGCAAGCACTGCAACAAAGACTGACATTAATTTCAAACAGGGACCAGTTTAAGGAAAAAGACAGCAGAGGATTTCTCTTGTAAAAGAAAGGCTTTAAGATGAGATGCTATTACCACATTTTTTAAATCAAGTCTTGTTTCTTTTTTTTAATATTCTTTTATCTTCTTTGTGATAAAAAAAGTAATAACTCCTAATACAGAAGATAGCTCTGCGCTTTCTCCAGGACTTAAAAAGAAAGGATCATTTTCTTCTTTCAATTTTTCTCCAGGTCAGCACTCAGTAATCTGACCTAATTCAATCGGGTGGCATCCTTCTATCAAATTGCCCCACACCTTAAATTTAATCATTAGAATTACCAAAAAGCTATTTTCTAATAACATTTTATAATCTCTTATTTTGTTATAAAGTTATACAAAAGAACTCAGACCAGTAATAAAAACTGTGAAAGTTTTTGCAGGAAGGCATTTATAGCCATACTTCATTTCTTACAACACCACTGTTTTTTGACTCTCCCTATTAAATTCTATGGGATCTTCACATACCAATAAAGTTATTTTAATATAGGACTTAAATATCCTTTCTCACCATTTTTGCAGATTGAAGGATAAAAGGCATCAGGATAAATGCTCCCAGCCTGAAACGCATCTTGGTGGTTTAGTAACAACTGGGAAAAGGAAGGATGATGGAAAAAAAATCAGAATACTATCACACTGCACAGAAGCAGTTTTCTGTCAATATTAAAAACAAAAATTTAATTCTGCCAGCAAGACACAACTCTTATCTTGGTAAAATACATTATTTAAGTGGTTCCCCCCCACACACAAAAACCCTGTACCTGAAATCAAACTAATCAGTCTACACTGTAATTTGAATCACCCTCGAAAAAGGCAGGATCCAACTTAGGTACTGGTGAGGCCACCTTTCAGAGGTGCTCTCCTCTGGGCTGCTAAGTTTCTTCCTCTGGATCATACCAACACTATTTACATCAGCAAGAAAATGGGTAAATGACATAAGTAGTAATGGGCCAAACACAAAATTTGTCTATCATTTTGCTTTCTTTATTAAAATCACCTTTTGAAAAGGTTATCGATTCTATTGATTCTTCTAACACCTTCAAAGATGGTATGATTCAAGATGATGGCAGAACATGCAAGTAGAAAATATGCAAACATCACACAATATCTAATAACATAACTATATTATAATTACTAAATATTCAGTAGGAATCAAATATTTTCCAGCAGCAGAAATGGTAAAAACCCACTGTAGGTACAAAAACTATACACATTTTATCGAGAGTAAATAATAAAGGCAAAGAGACAAACACACACAAGAAAGATGTACACAATTAAACAAAAATATGATTCCTACCTGTCTATAGTTAACATTCCCTTCATGCTTGCTGAAAAATTCCAGAGCTCTATGTGCTGCAAAACAACATAGCAAAGTATTGATTTGTATTGTAACTAAGCCCATGTTTTATTGGAAGCCTTATCAAAAATTAGAATAGACCACATCGACATACCCAAGCCAGGAGGCACAGGCATACGAAACAATCTCTCCAAAATAAATTTTGTATGGATTAGAGGGGATGTTTTCTCATCTGAGGATCTAACAGAGAAAGGTTGTTTTCAAGGCCCATCTGGGCACTGCGGTCTCATTAGGTTCTACCCACTCTCCAGTTCCCTAAGTAACCAACACAGATGGAAGTGCCTAGCAGCACAAAAAGGGACTCTTCGCATCCAGATGTGAGCTATAGCAATGAACTGACTCTGATTAAAACCCAGTAAATACAGAGCACGTATCAGACAGCTCCACAGCTTTACTAGCTGTAGAGAACCCAAGTGAATGATATTTCAGTTTCACTGTTGCCCTACCCACCTTAAAAAAAAGTACCTCTGGAATCCACTTGAAAGTTTAACAGTTTGATTAATATTTAACACGCTCAAAAACAAGAAAAATGTGAAGTCTGCAAAGTAAATACCACTATTTACTTACTGAATAGACAGACATTCATGCGCAAAACTAATTATTAAATGAGCATCAAGCGAGAGAAAGAAACAAACGCACTTAGCACTTTTTATGAAATCTCATTCTGAGGTATGTAAAGTCCCAGAGATGATCCATTAATAGTGTTCTAAAAATACATTTTTCAAAGGAACACTGCCTCTAAAATTACTGGGTTGAAGCTAAAAATGCACTAGGAATCTTCTCACCATTCCACACAAAGTTTTACTCATCACTTGAGCTATTTATAAACTAAGACTGGTCTCCCTCCCCACTGGGACCACCTAGAATATTCTGCAGGTTAAGCCCTCCAGTGAATTTTGCTGCCAGACGCTCAGGACCCTGATGATGCCATAGGGAGCCTCTCCGCTCAGAGCTGCTCCGCTCCCGAGGCCGCGGCAAGCGGGACGCACGGGAGCACTGCCAAGCACATCCAGTGTGACCCACATTTTGAGTGGACAAAACTTGTAATCTCTTTGAAGCTCTTTCAGCCATGTGTGCAGGGGAGAGTTGGGTACTGCTTTGGGGTAGTTTTTTTTTCCTTCCTTTCTGCATTTTTTTCAATGTTTGCATTTGGTAATACCTTTCAATGTCTTATCATCATGGACTTTTATTTGCACACACTGATAAAAGAACTGATTTTATAGCATCAGAACTGAAACATGTCAACATCGTTTTCCAACAAATTTTATCTTAAATTATGATTCAGTATTTTAAAACATGGGCTACTCTTTAGACAATCAAGATCTGTAAATTAAATACCTATGAGCGTTTTACAATACGTTTCCTTGGTTAGGAAAAAAAATGGAACAGCTCTGCAAGATTTTGTTTCCCTTTGGACAGATCTTGCAAACATGCTGCATTCTGTCCAATCTGTCACTTCAAGGTTTTCCGAAGCTTCTATTCCTATTAGGTTTCTGAGTTTGCAACAATTTATGCGTTTGCCTGGCTCCAGTAGGTGTGAATTATCTATCAGTTTCTATCGGAGTCTTCACATATCCCTCACTCCCCAATCCGTTCCCTTGCAAATAAAGTCCAGGAATTACCTCAGCTTGTACCTGGCTTGGGGCTGCTTGTGTTCAGGACCTATGGTCTGAGAAGACCACCTGAATACAGGTCACATTGTAGGTTTTATTTTCTGCCTGGCCGAGCAACAGGCTTAGAACCGGAAGATGAAGAACCAATAATTAAAACTATCAATTGCTATTTGTTTCAAGTCCATGTTTCAGAATAATCTCATTCTGCCCAGGAGTGTTGCCATGAGAGTCGCTGCAGGAAACACATTTAAGAAAACAGCAGACACAAGTAAGAAATTCAAAACAGGAATGTTTTCCCACTGAGTCGTTCACTTTCCACAAGAATCTTTCCATGCCTCACTAAGGATCTAGGCTGTTTCGGCTACAAATAACCTACCCAGAAGAGACACAAAACAAAGTTTCATTAAGTCAGTCACAAACACAGTGTAACAGTTCATCTGCTTAATGCAGTTAGGACAAACAATTAACACAAAACACCAAAAATGACCCTTGTGTTAATCTCCAGTTTATGTTTGAGAACAACAGCTCAGCAACTGGTGTAAACGTTAAGTGTTCCCCCCATTCCTCCCACCAAACTGTACTTGTGTAAGACGGGCAGGCACAAACTCCCAGGTACCCAACGACCGGGCTTCTGCAGAGGGAAAAACAGGCAACTGCACCGATGCTGTGTACGGCATCAGTGTAGCTAAGGCGAAAGTCCCAACACCAAACTCCACATCTATCCTATGTCAAAATACAAGGTGGAATGCTCATCATTTTCACGGTATGTTTCTTTTCCTCCAGTCAAACCTGAACTTACTTGCCTTGAAACAGAGGAAAATGAACTGCGAACGCATCTTACCTATCTCAACGTGCGTTGAAATCCCGCACGGAAGGCAGCCTCGACACAAAGCGCAGAGCAGGGCCAGCAGAAGGGGCCCGCTCCTCCTGCCAGCCATGGCGCTGGCCCCGCAGCCCGGGACACACGTCGGGAGCGGCGAGCGGCAGCGCTGCGACCTTTGAAATGGAGGTGTTGAAACGGAGCCTTCGGGACGTGCCCCTTCCCCAAACGCGCTGCAGGCACAGCAGCCAAACTGCTGGGGGGTTTGGAAGGTAAGCTCTGCCAGTGCTTACCATCACCGCAGACAAAATTATTTATAGAGGAAAAGCAGTGCCCTACGGGCGTTCCCTGCTTCCGAGTCACATAACAGCCCTGTGGTTTGGGCGGTTTGGTAATTGGCACCCTGCGCAGCAGCATCTTTCCCAAAACACGAGGCGGGCCAGAGCCAGAGAAGGGCACCATCCCGCAGCGCTTCCACTCGCTGCGCAGGTGCTTGGCACCACGTGCTGCAAAATAACGACGAGCAGCCGCAGATTTTACAAAGGGGAAAAAAATAAATGAAAATGAATAAAAATAATTTATACGATAAGTTTTGAGGCTTGGGTGTTTGTTTTTTTTTTAATTTAACG